TCTGTGATTACTTTATAGGCTAAATAAAACATCTATTTTTGTTCATTCAAAACTGTAAAAGGGAGTAAAGTAAATTGAAACCATCAAGTTAAATAGGGTAAAGTTAGGGTAATTAGGCAAGTCATTGTATAACAGTGGTTTGTTCTGGAGACAATCCAACACTAATATTGCTGAAGGGGTGAATAATATTGAGCTTAACATGACTTTAACACTATTAAACACTGCTTTTATTCTAGCCCAAATAAAACTAATCAGACTTTCTCCAGAAGAACAAACATTAGAGGAAACACTGTGAACAACTCCTCAATCTGAGAAACAGCATCTGGGGGATATTTGAAGAAGAATCAATAATAATTGTGTCTTTATCTGTGTGTCAGTGAGGTTGTGGAGCTGCTTCTGCGTAATGAAGCTCTGACGAACATCGCTGATAATAAAGGCTGCTTCCCACTGCATCTGGCGGCCTGGAAAGGAGACCAGCGCATCGTCAAAATGCTCATCCATCAGGGGCCATCGCACCCCAAACTCAACGAACAGGTCTGACACACACACACACACACACACACACACACACACACACACACACAAAGTACTGAACCGACACCTGTGTGTGTGTATCTGCAGAAACAGTTGTGTATACTACAAGCCCTGTGTAAACCGACAGATATATGATGCACAGTGTGCTTAACATTAACACTTGTGTGCTGTTGGGTCGTTCATCCACTCTGGGCTGATTTTGAGGCTTAATTTGGCCTCATCTTTCTCTGTGTTTCAGCAGACGTGATGATTTCAGCTGATTTTGATGCATATTTTGGGAAAATGCTTTGAAGTTTGGCATAAACTCGGCAATACAGTTCAGATTGACTCCCCTTTGGTGATGTTGGAGCTGTTTTTGTGCCATTGGCTTCCATTACAATCACATTTATTGATTGCAAAACCATGCCAGCAGATAATCCTGCATTCTGAAGTGTTGCTGTTCATTAAGAATGAAAGCAGGGAAAACTTGTGGACATGAGAGAGCTCTAATGCACGCGAATAGAAAAACTCTCACAAATTGAGCAATGGTTCGAGCACTTGTGAAGTGTTCACTGCTGTAATGTTGTGCTTTTACTGTTAAAACATGCAATCTGCTGCTATTTTATCACGCTAAATGAGCACTTCTTCCTGTCTGCAGTGTTTTGAGTCTGAGAGATGAGTCAGAATACAGAGGAACTGCTGTCCATCTCTACTGTAAACACTGCTGTTACTGACCCTGTCTGAGATCAGCCGTGGAGCTCTGGAGGATGTAGACTAGTGAGGGTGTGTGTGCGTGTGTGTAAAGTCTGTAAGTTTGACTCATCTCCAGATTAGCTGCAGTTTATCAGTAGAACAGTTGCTTCCTCTTCTTCACACTGCTCTCATTTACACTCATGAGTAAAGCCTGACATCAGTTCAGTGACTGTGCTTTAACTCATAGCACATCAGTCTGAGAGTGCTTCTGATGGTCTGCGCTGGGTTAATGTTGAGCGGAGAGTGTGTTTAGTGTGTGTGTGTGTTGCAGATTAACCACATTCACAGACTTGATCAATAACTGCTAATGAATAACTGGCTTTAATGTAAATTTGGAAGGAAATGCAAAGTCTGGTTCTGGTGTGGTGATTTAGCATGCTTCATTCAGCAGTAATGGAAACTCACACACTGGATTACTGTAGGCAGAACGGTTGAGTTGAGAAAAACTGAAATAATTACATTTACCTGTGATTTTTGGGTACAGATTTCGGTTTTGTTTTCATGGTGAACTGTCAGATTGACATGTAGGTATATGACTTTAAAAAAAATGAAGAGACCACTTGAACACTCTCAGTTTCTCTGATTCTTGCAGTCATTTTCAGTAATTAAAGCTGATTTTTTTTTTATTTTGTAAAATTTACAAATTTCTAAAACCTAAAACATTTCCAAATATAACTTATAACGAATAAAAGTCGTTCTATAATAATAATTATTCTATATAGAGTCCAATATAGAGTTGTTCTATATAGAGTTTTTCTGCAATAGTCGCTCTAAATAGAGTGGTTCTATAATAGTTGTTCTATAATAGCTATTTTATATAGAGTTGTTCTATATAGAGTCGTTCTACATTAGTTGTTCTTTAATAGTCTTCCTTTAAAAGTTGTTCTAAAACAGTCGTTCTATATTAAGTCGTTCTATAATAGTCATTTAATAATAGTCGTTCTATAATAGTCGCTCTATATAGAGTTGTTGTAGTCATTCTTTAATAATCATTCTATATAGAGTCATTCTATAATAGTCATTCTATGTAGTTGTTTTATAATAGTGCTTTCATAATAGTTGTTCTATATAGTCCTTCTCTTGGAATCATTCTATAAGTCGTTTTATAATAGTCGATCTATATAGAGTCATTCTATATAAAATCCTTCTATAATAGTTGTTCTATATAAAGTCTTTCTATATGGAGTCCTTCTATATAAAGTCATTTTAAAATAGTTGCTCTACAATAGTCCTTCTATAATAGTTGTTCTAGAAAGAGTCATACTATAATATTTGTTCTATAATAGTCCTTCTATATAGAGTCGTTCTATAATAGTCCTATATAGAGTCATTCTAGTATAGTCATTCTATAATAGTCGTTTTACATTAGTCAATCTATATAGTCATTCTAAAAAACGTTTTTCTATAATAGTCGTTCTATTCAGAGTCGTTCTACAGTATATAAAGTCTTTCTATATAGTCCTTCTATATAAAGTCATTTTAAAATAGTTGTTCTATATAGTCATTCTATAATAGTGCTTTCAAAATAGTTCTATATAGAGTCCCTTTATATAATAATCATTCTATAATAGTCGTTTTATATTAGTTAGACTATATAGAGTCATTCTAAAAAAAAGTCTTACTATAATAGTCGTTCTATACAGAGTCGTTCTATATAATATTCGTTCTACAGTATATAAAGTCTTTCTATATAGTCCTTCTATATAAAGTCATTTTACAATAGTTGTTCTATAATAGTCCATCTATAATAGTTGTTCTATAAAAGTCATACTATAAAAGTCGTTCTATAATAGTCATTCTATCTATACAGTTTGTTCGATAATAGATGTTGGATATAGAGTTGTTCTATGATTGTCGTTCTATTATAGAGTATAGATTTGTCATTTAATGTTTACAAATTTCTAACTTCCTAATAAATGTGAAATGTTATATTAAAATATGATGTTAAATGTGTGAATGATGTGTTACCTTCAGTAGTGCACTTTATATTTCAAAGACAGAAGGAATATGGAAAAAAGACATGTATAGATGTACTTAACATCAATCCAAAGCCCTTTTAGGTGTTCAGAAACATCTGCTGATCTGTTATCAGACATAACCACGTCCTTCTTCACGATAATAAGCTAACAGACACTAATGATGCATGTGAACAGTAGTTCTGTAACCTTTAGGAAGCATTTATAAAGTCATGCTTAACTGCGGTTTGCTGTGTTCATGCTGTTTGTAGCATTCATCGTTTTCGCTGACCGTCCTTTTCTAAAGCTGTTGTTTGTTTATTTATTTATTTGTTTATATGTGAGTAAATGGATCTGAATATTCATGTGCACCTGTACCGGCTTCATTATTAGCGCTCAGGGTTGCTTTGTATTGTCTGAGATTTCCCCAGAGGACAGCCGAAAGCGTTTGTCTCCTAATTTGTCTTCTGTTTTGCATAATTTGAAGAGACTTTAATGCTTTTATCCTCCTGCCGTGATGCATTCAGGGTTATTCAGACACATGAGCACGCTTTTCATTCAACAGCTTCTCTCATTGATTTCTCTTAGCATCTAATGTCCGAAAATGAAATGAAACAACAGCCGGAAAGAAGCATTGACTGTTGCTTTTTCTGTTGATTTATAATGTTCTGAAGAGATCATGATGTGGATTTTGTTTTCCCTAAAGGATTATTAACAATGACAATAATTCAGCAAGAAGAAAGCAGCGCACATATCTGTAAAAATGATTCTTTTAGAGTCCATTAAAGGCTTGTCATCAACTGTTTCTGATTGCCTCTTATATTATTTTATAGCAAAGATATTGATGATTATCGAGTGCTTTTTGGAGGTACAGTCGCGAAAAATGTCAAACAAAAAAACAAAACATTTAACTTGCATTTAAGGCTGGCTGTGCAAATCCAGTTAGATCCACTTGTTTGGTAAACAAAGCAAGTCTCTCATATAATAATACATCTACTAAAGGACTGTATATAAGTCATATTATGCAGGGATGTTTCTGATATTAATATTAAAACTGAACGAATATCTATTTTCACACATTTACAGAAGTGAATAAACACAGACTCAATGATAGACAAAGATCCTCATATTTGTGAGCGTGCAGATTCTCGTGTCGTGTGTGTTTACAGCACGTGTGTCTGCTTTACATGTGGACTGCATATCAAGCCCTTAATATAAAGCATGATTCAGGTTTAGCACTAATTGGATTATGCTGTTTCCCTGCAGCGGCTCATTCAGATCACATTCTGTTATAGTTCATTAGTCATGCTGTATATGACGGTGTGTGTGGCGTATAGAATTAGAGTTATAAATTGGAGTCATTCTAAAAATAGTCATTCTAAACAGAGTTGTTCTCGAATATTTATTATATACAGAGCCATTCTACTATAGTCGTTCTATATAGAGTCGTTCTATAGTGATCATTCTATATAGTTATTCTTTAATAGTCATTCTATATAGAGTCGTTCTATAGTGATCATTCTATATATAGAATGACTATTAAAGAATAACTATAGAGTCGTTCTATTAGTCATTTTAAATAATAATTTTATAATATTCCCTCTCATCCTATATAGAGCCGTTCTATAATAGCCATTCTATATAGTCAATCTGTAATATTCAATGTATAAAGAGTCGTTTTATAACAGTCATTCTACAATAGTCATTCTAATTGTCATTTTATATAGAGTTATACAATAATATTCATTCTATATAGAGTTTTTCTATAATATTCAATCTATATAGAGTCATTTTATAATAGTCGTTCTACAATAGTCGTTTTAATAGTCATTCTATATGGTCATTTTATATCGAGTCATTCTACATTAGTTTGTCTATATAGTCATTCTAAAATAATAATGAATAAAATAATTATATACTGAGTTGTTTTATAATAATCGTTTTATAGTCATTTTAATAGTAATATAATAGTCATTCTATAGAGTCATTCTATATAGTCTTAAAATAGTCATTCTATATAGTCATTCTATAGAGTCATTCTATATAGTCTTAAAATAGTCATTCTATATAGTCATTCTATAGAGTCATTCTATATAGTCTTAAAATAGTCATTCTATATAGTCATTCTATAGTAGTCATTCTATATAGTCTTAAAATAGTCATTCTATATAGTCATTCTATAGAGTCATTCTATATAGTCTTAAAATAGTCATTCTATATAGTCATTCTATAGAGTCATTCTATATAGTCTTAAAATAGTCATTCTATATAGAGTCATTCTATAGTAGTCATTCTATAGTCTTAAAATAGTCATTCTATATAGAGTCATTCTATAGAGTCATTCTATATAGTCTTAAAATAGTCATTCTATATAGTCATTCTATAGAGTCATTCTATATAGTCTTAAAATAGTCATTCTATATAGTCATTCTATAGTAGTCATTCTATATAGTCTTAAAATAGTCATTCTATATAGTCATTCTATAGTAGTCATTCTATATAGTCTTAAAATAGTCATTCTATATAGTCATTCTATAGTAGTCATTCTATATAGTCTTAAAATAGTCATTCTATATAGTCATTCTATAGTAGTCATTCTATATAGTCTTAAAATAGTCATTCTATATAGAGTCATTCTATATAGTCGTTCTATAGAGTCTTTTAATATGGAGTCGTTCTATATAGAGTCATTGTATAATAGCCATTCTATTCTATATAGTCATTCTATGAAGAGTTGTTCTACGTTAGTCAGTCTATACTGTAGGAGTCGGTCTGTAAAGAGCTGTTGTATATTGTTCTGTGCAGAACTGTCTCTGTACACAGCGCATGTTTTCTCACGTCATGATCTCTCCAGCTGAAATCACTTCCTGTCTACAAACTGGCAAATTGGCAGCATGCTGTGTCTCATTTCATCTTTGGTCATTGTCATGAAGGCTGGCTGATTCTCCGCCGTGTGATTGGTTGGTTAAGGATATTCAGTTGTATGATCTTGGCTGATGTGGAATCTCTGAACTCTCCTCCTGATGTTCTCCAGTGGTTGTTTTGATTACGGATGTGTCATTCGGCGGACTCAATCTGCCAGCCTGTAGTGTGTTTGTGGGTCTATTAACACTCCTGTTCAGTGTGTGTGTGTGTGTCTGAACACGTTTTCTCCCTCTCCCAGAGTTCTGTAGATGAGTTCAAACGCTGCGGCCCCTTTGACCCCTATATTAATGCCAAGGTGTGTATCAATGACCTCTGACCTTCACTCCGTACCTAATGTCTGGGTTTGTCTGGTTTCTGTCGGGATGGTGTGCCGCTTCCCTCTTTCCTCATGTGTGTGTGTGTGTGTGTGTGGGTGCATGTGTGTGTGCGTACATTGACTGTTAAATATGAAATGTGTAATTTATGCAGTTTGCAAAAAATAATGATGGATTTCAAACAGGTTTCCAGAAGAGTTTGATAATCATAATGAACACGAAATGTCACACACACATATACACACACACACACACACACACACACACACACACACACACAAATGTGGTCACACATAAATGCACACATACACTTGCACATATACATACACACTAATACACACACGCATACATACATGTGTACACACACAAACATACACTTGCACATATAAACCTATACACACGCTAATGTGCACACACGCACTTACACACGTAAACAAACATACACACACTTTTTATTTATTTATATTATTTGTTTGTTTATTTTAATAAATAAATGCATTTTTAAATAATCTTTCTGCATTTTGGTATTTTTTATATGCTTTAATTATTTATTCTATTTTTAATATAATAAATACTTCTTTATTTATTTATTTTTGTTTATCTTTATTTGTTTATTTAATTATAATGAAATATGTATCTTTATTGATTAATTGTTTTTGCACTACCAGCAAACAGAAATATGCAAATTAGAATACATGATATGCAAATTAGACGGTCAATCTTATTTCAGTGTACATGTAGACAGACTTTTGGGCAAACATCGTCTCAGAGCTGATAGTGTTTCCCCCTTTACCAGTTGTTAAATATGTAAACCATATTAACAAGGTGTGTCTGACCTTTCAGCTGGATTAGAAGAACTTACACACTTTATAATTCATCTGCTGTGAAGCTCACAAACTCCACACACATGCTAGATGGTGCGTGAGCGTGTGTGAGAGAGTGTGTGTATGTGTGAGAGAGAGAGAGAGAGAGAGAGAGAGAGAGACTGGCAGACATGAATAATTCATGAGCTGGAATGAAGTGTGCGTTTTGTGCTTGTTGAATAGTATTTCCAGCATACCTGCTGTGCCACACACACACACACACACACACACACACACACACACACACACACACACACACTAGTCAAGAAGCTTTTCAGTGTATCTGTCAACTCACATCAGTGTCAGAGAGAAGCGCAGTGCAAGATGTTCTGCACATGCAAAATATTCATCATCATCATCATCCTCCTCCTCCTCCTCCTCCTCCTCCTGCTCCTCCTCATCATCATCATCATCATCATAATAATCTGAAGTCCTTTATTTTGGCTCTTAATCATCTGTCCAGTTTGTAGATGGATCCTCCCACAGATTGTGTATTGTGTCTGTTGTTTTAGGATTTAATGATGATTATGCATTAAGCGTGATGTCAGCTGTCTGTTAGTGGCCTGGAGTTCAGTGATTTACAGAGGTTTAATTCACCTGAAAATGAAGAGACTTTCATCATTTACTTCAATATCTGTTGAGCTCAGATATACATCAGCATTTGAATTCAGATTAATCAAGATTAGCCCCGCCCTAAAGGAGTGATAGCCCCGCCCTAAAGGAGTGATAGCCCCGCCCTAAATGATTGATAGCCCCGCCCTAAAGGGCTGATAGTTCCGCCCTTCAGGACTGATAGCCCGCCTTAATGGACTGATAGCCCCGCCCTTCAGGACTGATAGCCCCGCCCTTCAGGACTGATAGCCCCGCCCTTCAGGACTGATAGCCCCGCCCTTCAGGACTGATAGCATTCCAGCATTCCATGTGAGCAGAAATATCAAACTAAACTAAGAGGAGACATTCTGATGTCATGCAGCTGTATTAATGTGATCTGCACAGTATGACAGGTGATTCAGTAGCACACACCCTTTTGCCAAACGCTTAAACATCGGTTTGTTTCTTTCCTGATTGGCTTGCTACTCAAATAAGCAAACAGATAATGAAATATTGAATGAAGTACTCCAGAGTAATGATCTTAATCAGTCATCATCCTCACACTCCTGCTGTTTAGCTGAATTTCTGAACTGTTGATCTACTGTAGCAGCAGTGTGTGTTTCTCACTGTAGAATGTTTGATAGCATCAGTGTTCTGCAGGAGTGGAGATGTGGCTGGAGTTATCAGTCGCAGACTGTGTGTGTGTGTGTGTGTGCGTGTGTGTGTGTGTGTGTGTGTGTGTGTGTGTGTGTGTGTGTGTGTGTGTGTGTGAGAGAGAGTCACAACTCGTGATCTTCATGACATTAATTCTTTAAAATCACATCAGCTGTGCAGCAGTGAAGACAGATTACCTCCTGTCTGAAGGCTTTTCTCTATGTGTGTGTGTGTGTGTGTGTGTGTGTGTGTGTGTGTGTGTGTGTGTGTGTGTGTGTGTGTGTGTAGGTGCTGAAGATCACGTTATTGGGCCACAGGAAGCGCATCATCGCATCACTCGCTGAACGGCCCTATGAGGAGCCTCCAGTCAAACCACCGCGCCTCTCTCAGATCAGAGTGAGTTATTAACTGGAGAATGCAAACACCAGAACCCTAACAATGAACATATAGCGGTAAAACTGCACAACTACAGCGATAAACACACAGAGGAAACACTGACAGCCCATCAGAATCCACAGCAAATGAAAGCTGCAGACAGCACTGTGGAGAAGCACACTGATGAAGATCAGCCCTCCCTCACAGAGTTATTACAGATCATAAGGGCCATAGGAATAATAAGGCCATGAGGAATAATGACAGATGGATGTTCTGAAAGTCATGCTGGTGTATGGAGTGTAATAATGAGAGTGTGTCAGGACTCAGTGCTAGTTTGAGTGTGTAATGCTGGAGAGCTGACTGAATGACTGTCTGATCAGAGTCAGCAGATCAATAGTGTTCAGATGCAGCACACTGACACCTGCTGGACACTACAGAGAATCAGCAATTAACAGCAGAATATCAATGTAAACCCATTATTATCGTTCATCTGTGTGTGATATATATATAAAAACATGGACAATAAGATGAATGAAACAGAGAAGGAACTGAGTGACTTTGATCATCACTATATGACTCCTTATTGAAGAGTTCAAGGCATGACAGGAGACCATCTCTATAGGAAAATCAGGTTTTGAAGAGGTGCTGCATGTGATATTTGTTCACTTTTTGAATCCGATTATGATCAGCACTTCTGCCTTTGGACTCTGTGTGGGCCTTTCTAGTGAAAAGGACATTATTTGCAGTAAAAAACGAATGCCTGTGGTCATTTTCACTCTTCTTCTGCAGTGTCAGGATCTGGTGTCTCAGACGTCGTCTCCTCTCAGTCACTCAGACTCCTACACTCGCTCTATGGACCCGCTTTTACCTGCAGGGGACTCTGGGAAGAGGAGAGGGCCGGATTCAGAGTATGACCTGGCCATCCGGCAGCGGCCCAATGACAGAACGCAGACGCAGGTCAGATTTAGGCTATGATTATGAACACCACAGTGATGTAGACAAAGACAGAAGGGTTTTCCTTATTACGTCTGCATGACAAAATGATCCACAAGTACACACATCCACAAAACAACCAGTGATGCTGTGTTAAGTGTTTGGCAGTGTCACCTTAGTGCCAGTAAACAGCACCTGTAGGGAAAGTGTGTGTGTCTGTGTGGAGGACGAGGCTCCACAGTTGGTTGCAATGTGGAAGTAAATCCACAATTTGCTGAAAAAGCTTTAGCAAACATTTGAGCAGATACAGCACTACCACCTACTGTTCTGCACTTCCCTTTAATCTACACCGTCCCAAACATGTTCCATGCGCATGCATGATGTCATCATTTCATTTCATTCTCTTTTTGGGTATTTTCACAAACACAACCATAGTGACATTTATTATTATTATTATTATTATTATTTATTTATTTTTTGTATTATTATTATTATTATTATTATTATTATTATTATTATTATTCATATTATTATTATTATTGTATTATTATTCATATTATCATTATTCATATTATTTTATTATTAGTAGTAGTAGTAGTAGTATTGTATTATTATAATTATTGTTATTAGAATTATTTTATTATTATTATTATATTGTTATGATTAGTATTGTATTATTATTATTGAATCATTATTATTATTATTATTATTATTATTATTATTATTTAATTATTATTATTATTATTATTATTAGTATTAGTATTAGTATTATTGTATTATTATTATTATTTGTATTATTGTTATTGAAACATTAATATTATTATTATTATTATTGAATTATTATTATTATTATTAATGTTATTATTATTATTACTATTATTATTATTGTTGTTGTATTATTATTATTATTGAATTATTATTATTATTATTATTATTATTATTATTAGTAGTAGTAGTAGTAGTAGTAGTAGTATTAGTATTATTATTGTATTATTGAATCATTATTATTATTATTATTATTGAACTATTATTATTATTATTAATGTTATTATTATTATTACTATTATTATTGTTGTATTATTATTATTATTATTATTGAATTATTATTATTAATATTATTATTATTATTATTAGTAGTAGTAGTAGTAGTATTAGTATTATTATTGTATTATTGAATCATTATTATTATTATTATTATTATTAGTAGTAGTAGTAGTAGTAGTAGTAGTAGTAGTAGTGGTATTATTGTATTATTGAATCATTATAATTATCATTATTATTATTATTGAATCATTAACGTTAACATTAGATTAGATTAGCTTTATCTAGATCAGGGGTGTCCAAACTAGAGGGTTTAGCTTCAACCCTAATCAAACACACCTGAAGCAGCTAATCAAGCTCTTTCCAGATAACCTCAAATCTCCAGGCAGGTGTGTCGAAGCAAGTTGGAGCTAAACTCAGCAGGACACCTCCAGGACCAAGTTTAAACATCCCTGATGTAGATCATTAGATTACCATCACTGCATGTCATATTAACATTGTCATGCTGAAAAAATAAAGCTGTTATCATTGAGGTGAAGGAGTGGCATAATGGACTATAGCCTCACTGTGCTAATCAACACCAATAGTCCTGTACATTCAGACAATATTACTGGCTGGAGCCCAAACTGAGAAAGATTTTGATTTAATAAAGGCCAACATTGCTTTCCAATTTGAACTTTCACATGTATTTAAACACCAAATCAGGTCAACTCTTACTGTTTTTTTCTCCTAATATAAATTCACAATAATAGATTTGTTCTCCTAATTTCATTTAAAAGAGTTCTGTGTTCCTGCAGGAGCGATATGAGGACCGGCAGCGCCTGACCCTGCGGCCCCCGAGTCTGGCAGCCCCATACACCCCCGTCCAGAACTGGCACCATCAGCCTGAGAAGCTGATCTTTGAGGCCTGCAGTTACGAGGCCAACGTAATTATATTTAATTATATTGTCATAAATCAGACCCTCTGGAGCTTTATAATGCTGCAGGTTGTGAAATTAACTGAAGCCCTTGACTGTGCTTTGATAATCGGGTTTGGAGAGGTCATGTGATGCTGGCTTCTGTTTTATGTAGGAGATCCGTTCAGTTACATTTATACATTTATTCAATACATTTCAATACAATACATGAGTTTATGTCTCAATTATTTTCTTGTGAATACATTAATTTATTTAGAGCAATTTAGTATTTCTGCACAACGTTTTTGTCATTCTGACATTATTTGATGCAATTTACTTTATTTTTTATTTACTTTATACTTTATTTAATAATGACTGAATATTTCCTTTCAGTTGCTATTTTTTAAACAGTTCTTACTTACTTAATTATGTCTTGGTTGTATTTTCGACTTCATTCTGTTTGCTTCTTGCGTTTCTTGCTGTATTATTCACAGTTCTGTCTGTAGTTTTCACAGCTCCCACTGTTTTTAGTTTATCCTATGCGATTCCATGCGTGTTACTTATTGTTTAACGTTTTGTTTTTCCCATGTAGATCCCTGCCTTTTTATTTTGTAATGTCGGATTTATTCCATGTACATTCACGTTTGTTTGTTTTGGTTTTTGCATGAAAATTGTATTTTTGTCATTCTCAATTTGTTCAATGCAAATGCACATGTGTTTTCTGTGAAATTCCAAATTTATCCTTACAAATTCATATTTATTTTTGTAGTTATGAGTTTTTATTGCATGCAGTTCTTCTTCTTTTTTTGTATTTCTGTGTTTGTTCCACGCATTTTTTCTTTTGTAATTCCAAGTTAATTCCATCAAAATTCACAATTGTTTTTGTAATTTTAGCAAAGAGCTTATTTTAGTTGAGTTACAGTAGTTTATTCCATGCAAATCCACATTTAGTTTTGTAATTGCCATTCTTTATTCCATGCTTATTCACATTTTTTTTTTGTTTTGTTTATTGCTAATCCCAGTTTATTTCATGCAATTATCTTTTTATTTATTTATTTATTATAAATCTGTGTTTTTTCCATGCAAATCCATGTTTATTAATTGTATTTCCGCGTTTTTGTTCCATGCAGATCCACATGCATGTTAACTGTTCAAACTAGTGTCCGCTGACCTCTTCACCTGTTTGCCTTTGTAAAAGCAGCTGAAATGTGTGTGTTTCTGTCTGTCCTGCAGTATCTGGGCTCGATGCTCATTAAAGAGCTCAGAGGAACGGAGTCGACGCAGGACGCCTGTGCTAAAATGAGGGTATGCTGTTAACCATTTATGTAAATCACACAGCATGTACTGTAATATGAACCTTATTTCACTGTAGGACAGTAGTGCAGTGTGTTACTGTGTTGCATTGTGAAAATCACTGTATAGTTTACAGTATATACAGTGCTGTAAGTACATACACAGCTAGATAAATGGTGCTGTAAATGTAAATACAGTATTTCTGCTGTAATCGATTTACAGTGAGTTACTTCAGATTCTACAGGACATTGTTAACAGTGTTGGTGTTCGTCTATGAGAGCTCAAGGTCTCCCGCCAGCACACTCTTATGATTATTAGTGTGTATTTGTGCAGCTAGATGCACCGTCAGGGAGAAGGCCACCTATGAGTGTCCTCTATTACTGCAGAATAACAGACCATTTTCATTAGTAGTGGGATCTGCAGGTCATTTTACTGACTCAGACCTTTGAGAATAAGCAAATGGTCTTTCCTTTTTCATATCTTTAGATTAAAATGATTATTTATATTTACTGATGTAAACACTGAAGAATATACAGGGTATATGAGGACTGTACGCTTCTGATCAGCCTACAATGAGGAATTCTTAAAAAAAGGAAAATAAAAGTACTTGCATTCATCACAAAATACAGTGCAGAAATACAAAAGAAGATACTCTGATAAATGTTGGAAAGCGTATTACTGTAGACAGTATTTACTCTCCCTCTATGAGTTTCTTTCATCTGTTGAACACGTGTGTGTGTGTGTGTGTGTGTGTGTGTGTGTGTGTGTGTGTGTGTGTGTGGTTCAACAGAGGTCGACAGAACAGATGAGGAAGATCCCCACTATCGTTCTCTCCATCACATACAAGGGCGTGAAGTTCATCGATGCTGCCAATAAGGTGATGATGTCATTTCCTGCTCCCTCACCGACATAAACCACTGTTCAGGTGGTGGGATAGAGGGGATGGATGGATGGGAGCACAGACTGATACAATGATTGAATGATAGATGAGGTGATAGTTGAGATGATGGATGGATGGATGAAGGGAAAGAAGCACAGACTGATGGAATGAATGATAGATGAGATGATGAATAGATGGAGGGATCAAGGGATGGATGGAGAGGATGTATGGATGAATAGATGTAGAGGATGGATGCTCAGACTGATAGAATGATTGATTAATGATAGATGGGATGATGGTTGTGATGATAAATGCATGGATGGGTGGAAAAAAGAAAGAATGAATGAATGGATAGAGGGATGGATAGATGAAGAGAGGGATGTATGGATGCAGGGACAGATAGAAGGAGGGATAGAATTATAGACTGAGAGAGTGATTGATTAATGGTGGATGAGATGGATAGAGGGATGGATGGATGCATGGACAGACTGATGGATGGATGGAGGGATGAGGTGTGCTCACGTGTTCCTGCTGTGTGTTCCTGCAGAACATCATAGCAGAGCATGAGATCAGGAACATCTCGTGTGCGGCTCAGGACCCGGAGGATCTCTGCACCTTCGCCTACATCACTAAAGATCTGCTGAGCAGCCATCACTACTGCCACGTCTTCAGCACCGTCGACGTGGTGAGACAAACTCAGCATGGTGATGATCAGAGCCGAGTGGAAACACAATCAAAAAGAAAGCAGTGATTTCTGAATGCACATTGACTTGTGCTTGATTTCAGACAACACAACAGCCATTCTTCAGTCTGCTCCTCAAGATTATCTCTGCCTTTTATTTTCTGAATAAACACGTATTAGAGAGACAGTGGCAGGAGCAGATTAAACTGCTGAATAATGATGTGATGAGGGGATTGTGATTATGATCTGGGACAAAAGCAGCATCAGGAAAGCATCTCTTCATTTAGTTGAGCCGTCATTTAGACAGGGCTCTGCTCTTGGAAGAACTGCCCTTGTTGCTTTACTAGTATAAGTGAGCAGACTTTCCTTGAAAGGGACATTGGCTGCGTTCCACTCCACTATTAGAAATGCACTCTTTTCCTTGTTCTCTTGAGGGAGTTTCATATTTTATAGTGTGCTTCACTTCATCAAGTGAACGAGAGAAGTTTACATGCACACACCTTTGATCTGTTGATTTTGACAGAGCGAGTCGGCTTCATTTGTCCACTTCAGCACCGATATGTCCCAGAAAGCAATGCGATTGTGATGTCAGTGTAGTTTCCTAGTGCTCAAGGGTTTAGGGTATTCAATTTAAACCCAATCAGATGCTCTACCTGTTTTTTTCTATTTGTTCTTCTGGAGAAAGTCTGATTAGTTTTATTTAAGCAGGAATAACAGCAGTGTTTAATAGTGTTAAAGTCATGTTAAGCTCAATATTATTCACCCCTTCAGCAATATTAGTGTTGGATTGTCTCCAGAACAAACCACTGTTATACAATGACTTGCCTAATTACCCTAACTTTACCCTCATTACCCTAGTGAAGCCTTTACATGTCACTGTAAGCTGAACACTAGTGTCTTGAAGAATATCTAGTCTAATATTATGTGCTGTCATCATGATGAAGAGGAAATAAATCAGTTAAACAATCAAACTATGATTAGAGATGTGCTGGAGAAATCTGCTCTCTGTTAAACAGAAATTGGGGAACTGTACAGGGGGGTAATGAGTCTAACTTGAGTGAAGGGCATTGACATTGAACAGGAATGAAGTCTCTGACTAAACTGTTTTGATTTGAAGTGCCTCATCACAGTTGTTAATTAGCATGTCTCCGCCTCCCGGACAGAACCTGACCTATGAGATCATCCTGACGCTGGGACAGGCGTTTGAAGTGGCCTATCAGCTGGCACTGCAGGCCCAGAGGAGCCGCCAGCAGCAGAGCTCAGCCGGAGCAGCAGAACTGATCGACACCAAGAGCAGCAGACCCGTCCCCAAACCACGGGCCAGCATGCGCAAGTCTGGGGTCAGAACACACACACACACACACACACACACACACACATGCACACACACACAATTGCACAGCTATCTTTATAGGCACTTCTCATAAATGCAATGATTATTTATCCACAAACTTTATATTTTATCCCCTAAACCCAGCTCTCACAGACAACATTCTGCAGTTTTACCTTTTCAAAATACTTTATTCTGTGTGATTTACAAGACATTTTTATTACGAGGACCAACAAATAACCCCACAAAGTGTAAATGTATTGGCATTGCTATGCTTGTGGAGACTTTTGGTTCCCATAATGTAAGAAATGCAAGATCCAAACAACCTAACTCTCTCTCTCACACACACACACACACACACACACACACACACACACACACACACACACACACACACACATCGAGACATCAAATTTTCTTGTTGCTCTAATTGTTGAAGCTTTTGTCATGATATCTGGTATCATCATGGTATTAGCATGAGCTGCATTAAAGGGTTACTTTAACAGGTGTTTAAATATATAGTTTGCTTTAGTGTGTTTAAAGTAAATGTTTAAATAAAGTCTGCTGATATTATGTTATTTGTTCTCGGTTTATAAGTTGGATGCTGTATTTCATCAACTTGTCGATGGGTTGATGATAAAAGCAGAACCCCTCAGCTCTCCGCTGATCCTCCCACAGTCTCTGTCTGCATTGATAGTCCAGTCACTGCTGACTCTTAAATGTTTCACCTTGCTGTATTCTCGTTCTCATTCTTCACACTTATTCTCATCTATCCTTCATCCAGCTCGTCCTCTGCTCACCTTGCCACTTCAATACCTCCAATTCCCATGATTCCTCTCTTTGTAGGACTTTCTGACAAACCCATATCTGGTCCACTTGTGCTGTCTTGTTATCTTAATGACCAGCACTCTTACAGATATGAACAGTGCTGTGGAGCCGCCTGCTGGTGCTTTGAGGAATCACACATTAAATAATATAATTTAATTACAATTACTTTGATCATAGTTTAATTATCAGAAATGCTCATTCGAGGAAGAAAGAGGCAAGAAAAAGTGCATCAATTATTACTATATTATAAACAAAGCAAAAGTGTCCATCTGGAGCTCCTCACTTGTGAAACACTCATGCCGCCATCCTCACTCCTCACTCCACCTTCACAGCTCCCGGCTTCAGCCACACTCGTCACTAATACAAAGCCAACCAATCAATTCTTGCCCTACTCATCACCAAGACACGTAGTTACATATTTTTGAGATGTGCACATTCGATGCAGAAGTATAAATCAGACATTAACCCACCCTTAAAACTAATTGTACCACAAATCATGTCCCCGTGTCAATTAACAGCCCTTAAACCTACATTTACCACTAAACCTGTCCCATAACCATACTTCTAAACCTGTTCATTTGCCTTAACCAGCCCCTAAACCTACAGAGACCACCAACCCTGTCCCTATTCCTCAACTAGCCTTTAAACCTACACACAGTATACCTCTAACCCTGTCCCTATCCCTCAACCCATCCTTAAACCTACAAACACCACTGACCTCATCCCTATCCCTCAACCAGCCCTTAAACCTAGATATACCTCTAACCCTGTCCCTATCCTTTAACCTGTTTTTAAACCTACATATCCCACTAACCCTGTCCTTATTCCTTAACCACACCACTAAACCTGTTCCTATCCCTAAACCAGCCCTTAAACCACCTGTACAGACTACTAATCTTAGATGTTGTTGACATGGCTCCTGTCCTGCTGTTCCAGGTGGAGGCGATGGATGTGGAAGCTCCCGGTCAGAGCAGCGCTTCCTGGATCCTGGACTCCAAAGACCCCAAACGCACCGTCAGCACCAAGTACGAGACCACCATATTCTGACTGGATGCTGTGTCCTCTCCTACACCCGTCCCTTCTGCTCTGTGCCTTCACTCTCTAGATAGACATGACCGAACTCCTCTATTCCTGCTCCACGCGGACACCTCCTCCTGTCCATTCACCTACACCTTCCCCTTCAGCTGTCCTGCAGCTCCAACAAACACACACTCTCCAGTACACTGCACACTGAGTCTGAAATATTAGTCTGTTGTGGACACACACACTGCCTCCGAAACACTCGAGGGGCTTGAGAAAGTTTGGTTCCTGATAGATTTTATGGTCCCACTTTATATTAAGTGCCCTTAACTACTATATACCTGCCTCAAATCATACATACAGTGTGCTTACTGTGCTCATTAGAACACTTGTGGTGATATTAAGGTAAGGTACAGGTTAGGTTAGGGACAGGTTTAGTGGTGTGGGTGGGTTTAAGGGTGGGTTAAAGTGTAAGGGATGGTCAACAGTGTAATTATAAGCATAATTACTGCAGGTGTTTAATTGAGCATAAGTACATTGTCAAACATGCTGTTACACCATAATCAAATCTTAATTTCAGTGTAAGTACATATTAGTTGAGGACACTTCATATGAAGTGGGAGCGATTTTATTTTTGTATGTTTTCACATCTGTAGTGAGCATTCTGAGAGGTGTTTGACAATCCTGAGCCATCACACAAAATCCAGAATGGCATCAGACTTGAGCAGCAATCACAAGCTCCTGTTATGAAGGGTACAGTTTGTCATTTTAACAGTTCATCATCACTTGCATCATCACTTTTAGGCTTTTATTTGGATTGATATGGAGTTTAATGTGTGTGAATGAGAGAGAGACCTTTGCGCACTCACCTTGATATGTCTGAGAAATTCATCAACAGGAGTAAGCTGCTCAGAACACAGTAAACACAGTCAGACACACACTATAATCTGCTGTTTTACTGCACAGAGCTCCATATAAAAGCCTGAAACTCTTCAGCACAGGCCGATCCCAAGGGTTAATGCTGAGAACTGATGATCAACAGTAGAAATGACACACTTCCCTGCTGACAAATCCAGCTTAAACCAGCCTAGGCTGGTTTTAGAGAGGTTTTGGCCATTTCCAGGCTGGTTTCCAGACATTTCCAGCCTGGTCTTAGCTGGTAAGGGTGGAAAATGACCAGCTAAATCCAGCTAAAACCAGCTTGACCAGCCCTCTTTTAAGCTGGACATAGCTGGTTTTGGCAGGGCTCCCAACCTGGCTAGGCTGGTCAAACTGGTTTTAGCTGGTCATCTCCCAGCCTGACCAGCTAAGACCAGACTGGAAATGGCCAAAACCCCTCTTAAACCAGCCTGGTCGACCAGCTAAAACCAGCCTAGGCTGGTTTAAGCTGTTTTTTTCAGTAGGGTTCACCTCCTAATCTGTACAGGGAAAACCAGCAACAATGGAGAATGCTTGATAATCTGCTGTCAGGGCTTTGCCGTCAATAAATATGATTAAAATGGAAGTCAAAAACAGACACCAAAGGGGCGTCAATCTGAGCAGTAGACACGGGTTAATGAATATATATTACATTGGAAAAACAACCAAACCAAAACAATTCAGATTCAATGTGCAAGCCCTTTACTACACTGCATTTCTCTCAGTTCTCTGTCCTGCTGTCCCCTTTCTAGTTGACACTTTCAGAAGCATCCTTTATCAGTAGTCTTATCGTAGCTGGCCTGAAACCAAAGTAAATCTCTGCTGAGGACCAGAACATCTTCATCATCATCATCATCTTTACCTTGTGTTCAGACCTGCAGCCACTCACTCTTCCTCCTGCGCTCTGCTCCACAGACTCTCTCTCATGCTTTTAGTGAACTACATTTCTCTCTCTTCTCTTCTTCTGTGGTGCTGTGTGTACCAGGCGTCGACAGCAGTGAGGCGCTGATGAAGACCGCTCTTCCTCCTCCTCAGTTTGAGCTGGATTACTCTAACATGTAGCAGCAGATTGAAAAGTCAGTTCTGCCAAGGATTATGGAAAGAGGCACTTTCTGTGAATACAGTACATTTTGGTGCACCTTTATTGTTTAGGCAGTAAATGCTCATATTGCTTATTTAGAGGGGAATCTCTCGCAAATACATGTCAGAATTATTCACCCTCCTGTAAAATCATTATTCTTTTATATTTCCCCAATTACTGTTTAACATTTTCAGCACATTTCTAATCATAATAGTTTGATTTCTAATAGCTGATGTGTTTCCTCTTCATCATGATGACAGCACATAATATTAGACTAGATATTCTTCAAGACACTAGTGTTCAGCTTACAGTGACATGTAAAGGCTTCACTAGGGTAATTAGGGTAAAGTTAGGGTAATTAGGCAAGTCATTGTATAACAGTGGTTTGTTCTGGAGACAATCCAACACTAATATTGCTGAAGGGGTGAATAATATTGAGCTTAACATGACTTTAACACTATTAAACACTGCTGTTATTCTAGCCCAAATAAAACTAATCAGACTTTCTCCAGAAGAACAAACATTAGAGGAAACACTGAGAACAACTCCTCAATCTGAGAAACAGCATCTGGGGAATATTTGGAGAGGATTAAATACTGCTCAGGAGTGCGAGTAATTGTGTCTATTGGCCAACTAGTGTTGATTCATGGTTTAAACACACACACACACATGTACACACACATTTATTTAAAGTCTATCAATAATCACCAGTTGTTTTGGTTTATTTGTTAATTTTTTATTATTTCTGAGCAAAGAATAATGGCATCCAAGTTAACAGTTTGTTTTGACATAATAAATATATATATATATATATATATATATATATATATATATATATATATATATATATATATATATATATATATATATATATAATGTGTGTGTGTGTGTGTGTTTTTGTATATATTTACATGTTAATTTATTTGATTTATTTCAATGTTATGTAAAATTTTTATTATATTTCTACAATATTTGAATGTAATGTTTTAATATAAATTATATTTAACTATAAATATTTTTAATAATATTTTATGCTTAATTTTTTTCTTCTTTTATTAATGTAAATTATTAAACTATTGTTTAATATTTGTCACTCTCTGTCGGCGCAATAGACTAGTGGTTAGCACGTCAGGGTGTCCAGAGTCCAAATTCTGGCTCGAGGATTTTTCCCTACCCCCTATATACACACACACACACACACACACACACACACACACACACACACACACACACACATATACATACAGTTGAAGTCAAGCCTATTTTAGATATTTCCCAAATGATGTTGAACAGATTGAGGAAATGTTCACAGTGTCTGATAATATCTGTTCTTCTGGAGAAAGTCTTATTTTTTATTTCGGCTAGAATAAAAGCAGTTTTTAATTTTTTAAACACAATTTTAAAGACAAAATTATTCGCCCCTTTGAGCTAAAAATTTTTTTGATAGTCTCCAGAACAAACCACTGTTATACAATAACTTGCCTAATTACCCTAACTTTACCCTAATTACCCTAGTGAAGCCTTTACATGTCACTGTAAGCTGAACACTAGTGTCTTGAAGAATATCTAGTCTAATATTATGTGCTGTCATCATGATGAAGAGGAAACACATCAGTTATTAGAGATGAGTTATTAACACTGTTATGATTAGAGATGTGTTGGAGAAATCTGCTCTCCATTAAATAGAAATTGGGGAAAAAAATAAACAGGGTCTAATAATTCAGGGGCTAATAATTCTGACTTCAGCTGTTTGTGTATGTATGTATATTTTTGTCACTCTCTAAGCTGGCTGAATTTGAGGAATGAAGATTAAACTCTCTCATTTACTTATTACACAGCACAAAGTGACTTTGCTTTATGTTTTAAGCTCTATTTTGTGCAGGTTTTCATGGAAAGTGCCTGCAGATTTCCAGATGTTCAGCTGTGTTTGCACACTTTAGTTCTGGACTGTGGGGACTAACTGTGTTTTTATTGTACTGTTATGATATTATGCACTATATCTGCTCAACGAAACCCATTCTAGCACAGACAGCTGGCAGAAGCTCCTGCAGTACATTAGAAGAAGGTCATTGAGTTAGGATTGCAGTTCCTCACTGTAAATGCAATGCTTCTGCCAGTGTATGCATTTGTGTTTAGCACTGTGATATGATCTGTCCACTGCAAACAAATGCTTTTCTTACTCATAGTTTCTGTCTTGTTTCTAGTCCAAATATTTAAAAATTCTTAAGTCAAGAAGCATTTTCTAGAAAGGCAATATACAGTCTTGTTTACAGGAACACTGAGTCAACATTGAACGAGTTTTCCTGAAAACAAGCAAAATAATCTGTGTGTAAAATAATCTTATGTCAGACTGAAAACAAGATTATTTCCCTTCACCTGTTGTCAGATTATTCTGCTTGCTTTAATGAAAAACTCTCTTCATTTTGACTCATTATTTCTGAAAACAAAGACAGTATGTTCCAGTATGTTCTAGAAAATGCTGCTTTATTTAGGAATTTGTATAAATTTGGATTAAATACAAGACAAACTCTGAGTTTGCAGACCTTTATGTTGAAACTAAATCACAGAGGTGGTTCTACAAGATCATACGTCATATCACGATTAGTTTTACTTACTTGTTTTCTTAGTCATAGGGATGTAAAGGTGGAATTATGTGCATATATTTCACACAAGCCTTCAATATCCTCATGCAATCCCTTAAATTATGGGTAAATAAATATATTTGCGACTGCATAACACTTACTGTGAAAGACAAACCAAAACCATAATCACTGCATATGTGATGATGATCATTTTCAGCACACAAGGGGAAAAATACATGCACTGCTAAAGCATAATTGACATTTCTCTTTTTATTTTAGCTATTTTTATATTAATTGAGGATTAAATGAATAAACTAATTGACATCTCATTTTTAAACTTTCATTTTTTTTTTTTATAAATCTGCTTGTTCAACTTATTTTTCTGTTTAATTATTTATTAATCCAAATAATCAGTTGATTTCAGATCAAGTTTTTTTCCCTCATTTGAGTTTTTCCAACTCAACTCATAATTAATTAATTGACAGTTTTTTAGCAGGTTTTTCAACTCTTCTCATAATTTATCTTTAAATCTTGATTTCTTACTTTACTAATTTGCACTTTTGTGTGGATCTCTTAATTGATTTTCTCAATATTTCAGCTCATCTTGTAGCTGATACTTGATTTTTAAATAGATTTACTCTATAATAGATTTTGTCTGTAAGACTAAATTAGCTTCTCACCATTGTGTTCATTATTTTAGCTTTTTAATTTCTATTTCTCTCAATTATGAATTTTGAAAGTTGAAATTTGCTTAATCATAAATTGTGAACATTTAAAACTAAATTAAGTCCTATTTAAAACAATGCGTTTTTGTCTTTTTATTTGCATTTTGATTTATCTCACGATTGTTGATACTTTCATAATTTCCCGATATTTACTTTGATACTTTCATATCATAATTTGGTTCAAATAATTTCATACTTTTTGCTCAAAAATGATTTATGAAAGCATTATTTATTTCCTTGTGTGACAGAAACAGTTTTCATTTGACAACACACTGGCAGCCATTTTCATTTGTTGCATCCCATTAGGACAGTAATATATGGTTTTAAACTTATATCAGTGTTAGGACAGCAAATATGCATAAAGACTGCTGTTTACAAGCATCTTCTCAAACCTCCATCTCCCTCTACTGCCTGCTGCTCCCTCCATCCTGAACCTTTTCCTCCTCGTTTTGCTTTTCTCTCATCTGTTGTGCGGTATTACACTCTCTCCTCAAGATCTAACTCCTTTGGACACTGAGAGATGCCTGTGAATTTCTCAAAACACTACTTTAATATGGACATCACAGTCTGGTGAATGAAGTGTAATAGTATTGATGAATGAATAGTATGATGTTTTGATCTCATGTAGGTTTGAGAAGAAATGTGGGAGATAGATATATACAGTGGAGGAAATAAGTGTTGAACACGTCACCATGTTTCTTAGAAAACCTGTTTCTAAAGCTGCTGCTGAAATGTGCACTGGATGATGATAAGAACCAAAGAAATCCAGATATGCAAAGAGGACTAATCTAATTAGTTTACAAATGAAGTTCTGTGTATTAAACTGAAATAACACAGAGAAAAAGTGTTGAACACATGAAGAAAGGAAGGTGTAGTTAAGCATGGAAAGCCCAGACAGCAGCTGAAATCTGTCAGTAGTTCTTCAGCAAGCCTCTGCCCTTCCTCAGTGTAAATGAAGATCAGCTGCTTCAGTCCAACATCTACATCAGCAGGAGGATGAAGATGAAGCCAGGGTGGACATTTCAGCAAGACAATGATCCAAAACACAGCCGAGGAGACTCTCAGATGCTTTCGGAGAAAGACAATCAAGCTGTAGAATGGCCCAGCCAATCACCTGAGCCGAACCCAATAGAGAATACAGAATACAGCTCCGATCTGATAGTCGAGACCCACAGAAGCATCAAGATTTACACACTCTGATGAAGACTGAGAGAAACTCACACCTGAGCACTGCAGGAGGCTTCATTCTCCATATGAGAGACGACTTTCAGCTGCAGCACCACAACAGCCTTTATATAGAGTATTAAACACAGTTCAGCAGTTCAGCTCTTTCTCCTTCTGTCCGTCCAGTGTTATCACACACTACTCATGTTTAGGTTTAGTTTGTTTTCTTTTATTCTAGTTAGTATTGTTTGGGTTTTTACCAAAATCTCCTGCACTTTCACGTCAGCAGCTCCTGTAGAGATATTATTCCCAGGAAAAACACATGACAGTGTGTTCAATACTAATTTCCCCCGCTGTATACTATATCGTTTATACAGATCTAATATTTATATATATTGGCTCTTTTAAGCCTGCTATGGATAAATGCAAACACAAAACTACCAGTAGGTGGCAGCAAGTCCATCTATTTTTATTGAGTCTTTCATTCAAAACAATTCGAGATGCCACCAAACAGCAGCATGAAAGAGAAGCATATAGATATGATAATGTCTTCACTAACTGATAGATTTCATGAGGTCAAAGCATTAGTGACCAAAACAGGAGTCAAAATGAAGAGAGTTTCACCTTTAAACAAGCAAAATGTCCTGACAATTATTAATGAATTATTAATGGAGAGTCCAGAGG